ATTTTCTTCGTAAATACCGAAGAAAATTCCGGATGTGACGCAGGCTAAGTATTTATAGCTTAATTGAATACATTATTGTAAATATTGCAGATTAATAGTATTATATGTAGGTCCTTTTAGTTTCTATTTTATATTGTATATTGTGTATATGTTTAACAGGGCTCCTTTTAAAAGCAAAGGCATTTTGCCACTGACTGGACTAACCTGTTGTTATTTTATTTAAGTTTAAATAAAGGTGTCTATCTGTCTACAACAAGAGATTGGGCTGCCTGTGGTTAGAACTCCAAAATCCTGGATCGGTCCTTGAATTCTGATTAACAATATACACAGCAATTAATGATGGTATTAAATATTCTCGAGTTATGTATGACTGACAAGTCTTTTATATTCCCTTCCATCTAAACACCTTTAACTTTATCGAAGCCTTGTCTCCCTAGCCAGATGGAGAGGCTATTCAARCGATTGCAAGGCCATGCAGATTAAACGAGCGACTTTCGCGAGCAGCAGCTTTGATTCTAAGTTTATTTTCATGGGGAACTGCAATTCTCCGCATCATCCCTCGCATCCACTTCTGATTCCAGTCGATTCTTTATCAAAATCATGTTCTTTCAAAGAATCGGGCAGTATTTCCAATCTGACATCTTGGTGTTGTTCAGCACGTGCACGCTGACCCAAAGACTGACTGCTCTGTCGATCTTCTTCTATGATATCTAATACACCGTCACCAAATTCAGCCAAGACATCAATAGTGTGTGGTGTGGGTTTCTCACCTGAACACGTTAAAACACAACAGGAACCATCATCAAAAATAAATGGAGCGGGGTTTTCTAGGATTTTCTTTATTTTCCAAGCAAGCAGCTTTAGGTTTTTGGGCTTCATTCCATCAAATAAGTTGACTGTCTTGAACCAGTGGTGAACACACTTCCCAGAGACCAGAGCATCGTGGAATTCATTCATTAATAACGAGAAACATTCTTCGATATTCTCGTCCACCCAGAACTCTACTGAAGTCTTTTCAAGGGCATTCAGAAAGATGTTTTTCAGATGGTATGTTGTGATGTCGGCGACAACTGGCTGCAAGTGGTCCTTCAATATAATTTTGAGCGCCAACAAGCATTTCCTGGCTGTGTTGGGCACRAGTTTGGAGAGCTCAACTTCTGCTACAGAAAAAGACAACCTCCAGCTTGTTTGTTCTTTATCGATTGGCGCTGGTTTGGCTACTAAATGACAGCCATGGGACAAAATCCTGATGACATCTTCCTGAAGAGGCCAGCAACGTTGTCTTGTCGGCCAGTCGCTGAGCGRCGGCCACTCACAACACTTGATGCAAATCATTAATCTCGCGTGATAAACATTGCCAACGTTTATATTATTAGCAAAGCCTTCTGAGGATATCGTTGCTCTTGGTTTGATAAAGCATCGATTATACCAAGCCTTGGGAAGGTCAGGAAAGTGTGTAACGGTTTTGGTTCCATTGATGGCGCTACTAGCATTTCTCCTGACGTTTCTTGAACTCACAATGTCCCCTTCAAATCGCGGTCTGACGGGTCGAAGTAGGGCATAGGTAGTATAACCATCCCCCTCGGGAATCAGTTCCACAAGAACGTTCCCTTTTTGACCGGAAAACGAAGCATTGTCAGCTTCAGGGCAGAACATAACATCGAAACAGGTATCAAGCGCACTAAACATGTCTCCTCTCATGTGGCATGTAGGAATACCAAACCTCTCGACGACACTGCCCGCGAAAATACACTCAAAGGTAGCGGTTTTAATCGCTTTTTCGAGCTCATCTTTGATGTCGTCTAGGAAAATAGAAGCTTGGTTTTGATACTTTCTCAGTTGTTCGGCCGATGGAATGTCTTGGTCGATGTCTAGGAGGATTGCTTTAAGAGTTCTGGAGCTTTTTCCTGTAAAGATACATTTTCTGTGTCCACAGCTAATTGGAAAGTATATGGCCTTTGAACAAACAAGAAAAAACAATTGATATTAAGTGAAAAGTAATTCGTAACGAACTTTCTTTCTTTGAAGTTTTTATTTTATGAGAATAGCAAGACAATATGGACTGCTTCAACGATACGGCGGCCATCTTGGATTGCAACTGAGACACCGCTGTAGGGCGTCCGGGGGGCAAATAAACCTTTGTTACAGTAAGGAAGTCGATTGATATTAATAGCTTACCACTAAAGAATACGACAAAAGATTAATTAAGACGGCAACATCAACCCCCCCACCGTTTAATAAAATAAAGACAAAACATACGTAACTCCAGGAACAGCGGAGGGGGGTGGGCTGGGGGCTTTAACCTCCCAATAACTTTGCCCCCATATTTTTGAATAGCTTGCTATTTGCTAAAATGACAATAGCCAACGCAATGAATATGTTGTAAATGCCCCTCAAACACTAGAAATCGCATTCCAAAGGTCTCAGTTTAAAACGTTTTCGTTGGTTTCCGCCTTCGGCAGTCGTTGGACCCCCCCCCCCCCCCCTCAATCAAAAGTACGCTCCGCGGTTCCTGAACTCTATATTATTTCCGTTATCTTTGTTTCGTTTTGCCCCCAGCAGGATAGCCGTGGCATCATCGAAGTAGTCTATTGGTGCCATTTGATTGCATAATGCAAACGGCCTAATCCATACGGCTTGGTCGTAATGTTTTCGGAACATCTTTCATTCCCTTTAGTATGATTTCTTTGTTTAAGAACAACGCCTAAAACGACACCTCTGGATGTGACTCAAACTAAGAATGGCATTCCTTATAAGGGATCGATGTTATGCTTTTTACCAGGACCCTACCCCACCCCCGACAAAAACACCATCGCGCGATCAAAAATTGTCTTTAAGAACTTGTTTGTTCTTGTTCAACGTGATATTCTTTAGAAAAACAGTCCAATTAGAGCTCCTTCAATCTATTGTTTTCATGACCTTAGCTTATTTTAGTCTGACACGAGTTTATTTTTAAACAAGAAAAACGATACAACAGAGAATATGAACCGGACACTTTTCTAATAGTAATGTGATATAGGTAAAAATACTTGACTTAAAAATCATACTTTTACTCATATAAATCTTAATTTTTTTTCATTTTTCAGGTACCGAGATTTAGGCCAAGCAAACAGGATTTTGGCCATTGCAGAACAATACAACTTGACCCCTACTTACTCTCCTCTCTCCCTACGTAGAAGGAATTAAATTAATTTGCTTTTCCAGTAAGTGATGTAATGTCTACTTACCAGCCATCTTCTGAGGGGGTTTATGACCAACGATAATGCAGCTGGCAGGACACAAAAAACTGCAATGCGTATCCCAACGTCTTTGACCTCACATCTAGGCCCGATGAAACAGTTTGTGACTAGAATCAATAGGATGAACAATGCTACCAGTCGAACACATGTAACAGCTCCGTTTATAGTCGTGTACCAGGGTGACCTCATTGCTCCTTTACCTGACAAATAGACTGATATCAGTCGAGCAATGTAGCAAAAAAATCCAGGGGGTGTAAAGTTACACGGAAAGAAATGCGGAACGTGCCAAAGCGGAACGAGGTTTTTAAGGGCTTGACACATAAGGGACCAGTCAATATTGAAGTCGGAGGGGGGAGAGGGTGGAGGAGAAAATAGGGGGCCCTCAATTTTTTAGTGGAACATGGGGGGGCCTTGAAAGGTCAAAAAAAGGATTGGGAGGAATTTTTAAACGTTTGAAGGGGGTACCCSAAAAACATGAATGCTATTATTCTATTATGCTCTTGTTGGGGTCTTGAAAATTTTTTGCACCAATGTCATTTTGTCCCCCTCCCTTTTAACATATGGACAAAAATAAAATCTCAACAGCATTTCTTGTTCTGATGCCAATTTACTGGCTGAAACAAATACGGGTTCACTGAGAGTTCCATAAGATCAAGTTTTGGGAACATGTGAGCATAATCAGTATATCACCTGATATGAAAGATGATTCTAATTAGATTTCATTTCACTACCTCTGATTGCGCATTTGTACGCTTTATTTTATCCGGGAAAGTGTAGCCCACTTTTTGTTTATCCCCTGGAGAAGGGCATTCAGATTTTCCTTCAAAATCTTATGTTTGAATGAACCCTTTCAACCAAAAGACAGTTTGTAAAGAGGTTTTAAAAGAGAAGAGCAATGATTCAAATTGGGGGATAGCCCAGGGCGGACGAGAGGTGTGTTCATGCACAAGCTCTATCAGATTTATTCCACAACTTCAAAACAAGGCATTTTTATCGGATGAACTTAATCATTTTTATAAAAAGACTGTATAAAATTATTTCTAAGAACAAGCTATTGTCCGTTTAAAACGGCCTGCGTTTGTTTTTAGTTGTTTACATTGGATTGTTTGGTGTCGAATTATTTTTCTTCTGAACTTTTGAAATGGTCGAAATGGTTTATTATTAATATGGAGGTTAGTCACTGGATACTCACTCCATCACTAATCAATATTTTGTTCAATAAATAGCTAAATATCTGGTAGATTTTTTTAGCGCTAAAAAGGTTTATGAATGACAAATTCAGAGAACAATAGCGTTCGTGTCGTGCAAGGTCAATGCATTTAGCATAATTCATGTAGGATAATTCTTACGTACCTTTTCCCTTTCTTTAGATCTGTAGAATGTTAATTCTGCTCTCTATGAGCCTTCGAGTGTTTATCCTTTGTTGTAGAACAGTCTCTCCCGTTTTTAAGCGTCCAAAAGGTTCCTGAAATACGACTTCATGTTCATGCTGTTTGGCAGTCGTATGCAAGCTGTTGAAGGTCAGGCCACCTACCGGAAGTGAAATAACACAATACACACAGGAAGCCCAATAGCCTGGGTTTCATTTCCTGTCCATTTGTAGCCATTTCTTTCATTTGGCAGCATTCGATCAAGCATTAAAATCATATTGTCTTTATATCCATATATTATGTTATCCAGCTTCTCACGGAATTTCGTCGATATAAAAGAAGAACCGGAAACTTGGTTACCGGTAGTGAAAAAGAACGCTAACACAGGAATTCCAACGGTACTGTTTTTTTTTTTTACGGTGCACCGGCCAGATAAATATTACTGCATTTAAAGAATATCCAAAAATAATAACCAAAAATAATAATTTTTTTCATTCCATGGTCTYTCTGTCTAATGAGATTAAAATATAGAAATAGGAATCGGGAAAAAAAATCGACTTTTCATCTCATGGAAAGAAGGAAAAAGAGAAATAAATAAAATGTGTATTTTAAAAAAAATTTATATATTTTTTTTAGTTTTACAAAATACAACAAAATACAAAGGTGAATTATTTACGATTAAGGAGGGGAACACTAGGTGTTACCCTCTAGATGTTTACATGCATGTTTTTTTTTTTTTATTATTTTA